ACTACAAAATGGCTGTAACGCATGTTCTGCATTTGGAGCATAAGACATTAGAAGGCTGCATTCGTTCTCTAATTTTTTCGGAAAATTTTCGGTGTCTAAATTTTGGGAAAATTTAGAGAAGTGATGATTGAAATTTTTTCGTAAAATTCGAGATCGAGGTGTCGAGTTATCCGGATTCCTAAATTTTCCAAAAATTTAGAAGACTGGGTTTAGTCCGAGATCATCGAAGAGGTTTCGCCCTCTTAAAACTGCAGCCCGAGCTTCTAAATTTTCCGGAAATTTTGGGTCCCGGGTAGACCCAATCGGCTTGCTCGCCGGGGTCCAGAAATTTCCCGAAAATCTTGGGGCTGGGGCGCCTCGAGGCGTGCTGCACCGCATAGGGCTGGTTTGACTGTAGCGTTTTATAGAGTAGATATTCCTCTCCATATATCGATATATATATATATATATATATATCTATATCTATATCTATATACCAACATGTGATTTCATTTTAAACTACCTTATATTAGCTTTATACCTGCTCTTATATGTATATATCATATTATATTGTATTACATCGCATTGCGTTGCATTACATTCCATTGCTGCATTACATTGCGTTACATTGCAGTACATGACAGCACATTCCACACACACATATATAGATATATATATATATACACAGCTATAATTATAACTTGAAACGGGGCCCAAAAACGGATTCTCTGACATCCGGGCGCTAGAACCCCAAATAGCGTGTGCCACACTGCTTAGGAGACGAAACATTCCGTAAGAAAGCCTTGTTCCAGCTCGACTCAAGAAATCGAAAGTGTCTTTTTGAGCATGAGCTTCGGCATGACGAAACGAGCTGCAGGCTTCAATTCAAGGGCACCAGATGTTTCCAATCTTCCTGGTCTCAAGTGTTCCTACTTGCGTGTCACTGATTTCTGCCATACCAGATGCGTTCTGAGGAAGAAGGCGCAGCCCGATTCTGCTGAAAAGATGTGAAACGCTGAGCAAGATGCTGTCCGACTCAGTTCTTTCGCCACCAGGGTTTCTTCGCAGCACCCATGCAGGTCGCAGGGTACCGGGCAAGGCCCGGCAGCTTCGTGGTAGGGGCGACCAGGTCGCCTGATTAGGTTTGAATCTCCGAGATGCTAGAGATGTACCGCAAGTTTGACTGTCTCATATGAGCTGCACCAGCAGATTTCTAAAGGATATGTTGCGAACCAAACGACCAGCAAGTCAACACATCATAAGCCAGAGATGATGTCATGAATCACATGATCCCCTCAACATTGCAAATACTGGAGCCCTACCACCTTCACCCAAGCATGCTAAGGCACCATCGGGGCAGTGAGTCGAGACAAGGCTTCCAGAGTACGCATCGCACCTGGAATTGGGATGTAGGGTCTTGGGATTTCGGCTCTGCTTCAGTCTCGTGTCACAACACGGTAGCAGCAGACAGTACCCAATATTCAAACTGAAATCATATATCAGTGTTAAGAAAACCATTAGTAAGAAGAAGAATAATAACAGTAATTTCTTATACTAAGAACAACCATAAAATCTTTTAATGTTGATACTAAGACAACATATGAACCGTGTTCTATCGTCAGGCCATGGCGTAGCTTTGAACTCTACGGTCCAGGGCCGGGGAGACATGATGCCGGCGGCTCCTCCCATACACCTTTTCTGGGTTCTGCTAAGAAACTTATCATGAGATACCATGAACAGCAACCCAGTTTTGCACTACCACTGACTGACCTTGACAACGCCCTGCTGGGAATTGCTTTGACACTGACACCGGTGAACGATTGAAGTGAAACCCAGCAAAAGGCACCGGGCCGAAAGAGTGCGGTCAAGACAGTCAGACAAGCTGATTTGAAGGAAACCCACTGAGAGAACATCGTCTTGTTGAGCTCAAGCGGAGACCACCATCAACAAACAGTCCGACCATCCGACTTCGACATTCATGGCAAGGAGGACACGAAAAGGCCAGTCCGGAAAACCCTCGCTGGCTCGGGCTATCCGCCCGCACATGGGCAGTTTGATTCTATGAAGCTTCTGCAGGTCTCTGAGCTCCTTACGCACAGCCTTCGGCCCTCGTGCAAGCCGCAGTGCTGCGCAGCTCGCAGATGCCCGTGTGCTGCTGGAACCTGCAGTCAAGACATCCGACTCTGTTTGTCTGTTGCATCCTTTCCCAATGGATAACCCGGGCCCCTTCAAATGCAAGAAACCCTGAGCTCCAGGCTGGACAGACTTGCAGCTCTTCCTCGCGTCGCAGAGAGCCCTGCACGCTGCCAGGCTTGTGATGCCTGCAGATGAGAGGTGCGGGGAGTTCGGTGCACGGAAGTCTGATATATATATATATATATATATATACCTCTCTCTATCTAAATCGATATCTATATGTGTGTACCTATGTATACACACACACGTACATACGTACGTACATACATACACGCATACATACATGCATGCATACACGCATACATACATATTTCTCTCTCTCTCTCTCTCGCTCTCTCTCTCTTCGGACCAGAACCCTGTGTGTTGCGGCCAGCGCGCCGCCAGTTGCAGGCTCTTCGCTGGTGCAAAAGGCTTCTACGAATGCTGCGTGCTGGAACAGTGTGAGTGAGTCTCCGAGTGATTAATCTGGGGAGGCCTATTAATAACAAGGGCAAGTTTGGTCGACATTATTGTGCAACCTGGTGTTGTTCGTTGTTTTAGAGGGTGCCCAATAATTCATGGACAGTTTGTCCGCCTGGATGCAGGGATCCCGAAAATGCAGAAATGATTTCCAGCCTTACTGGGCTACCCCTTGATGCAAAGCTTTTCCGGCCTGCAGCTATTTTCTGAGGCATATATCACCGTGCAAGCATGAGTACCTTCCCACCAGCGGTGGGGGAATTTTGAGATTTGGTGAGGGAATCCCGGCTCGATCGCTCAGCGAGGCCTCTTTCGCTGGAGATGATATCCGAGGCACACCGCAAATCCGCAGCCTTCGACCATGCCATCACCTCGTCGCATTTTCAAGCGTGCAACCCCCTTGTCGTTGCAGGGCCTGTGACATTTCCGTGCAGACTGCAAGACAGCCCCGACAAAGGAAAGAGCTGGAGCTCGCGCAAGAGGCATTATGGGAATCAGGGGGCCGGGGGCTAGAGTACAGGCCAGGCGCATGGGAAAAATGAGCCACCAGGTGGTCCAGGTCGGGATCAGTCAGTGCCTCACTGCAGGCCCAATCGTCTTCAGCCAGTACAAACTGGACTGAGTCTGCATCATGCGTGCATTCAACCCGAACCTGGACACCTGGACACCAGCTTCCGAACGACCGGACTGGAGCCCTGACCCTCTGACTCTCTCTACACTCTACACATAGAGCAAAGCTGCTCACGGCTACAGTCAAAAGGAGGTTGTCGCAACGCAGACGGCCAGACACACTTTCTTTGCAGTATCAAGGGACGCTCTCCCAGAGTTGCACCTTGGAGGCGATTGCTTGCAGAGTGCTGACACTATGCTTCGTCCTCGAAACTCAGCTCGCACGAAAACACATGCACCGCAGAACCGCAAAACGCAAGTATCGAAAACCGTGACAGCTCCCGCTACCCCTGTCTTCAAGCACTCGGCCTCGAACCCAACCAGCCGTGGCACTGCGTGGACCTCCGCAGCAGCTCCGGGTCGCACGGAGCCCGGAACCAGACCCAAATGCACCGGTGTACCTTGCGAAACACGAGTGTTTTTGCATACAAGCAGGCAGCAAGAAGTAGCAGTCGTCGTCCGGCAGCAGCAGCAGCAGCAGCAGCAGCAGAAGCAGCTGCAATAGTCGCTAGGAGACGTCCCAGTGGTAGGAGAAGGAAGAGTGAGAGCAACGAAGGAGCGACCTCGTGCAAATACCTGCTGGCTGTGCTGCTATCCGCAGCTAAAGAGGATGAGTCAACGGCCGGTCATTCCACGCGGACCACATGCCTTTTGATGCGCAAAGCGGGCTACAATCAACACTGCCGAGCTGCTCTGCCTAAGTGAAGCATCCGACCAGGACGGCTCCTCAGCGACACGTTGCAAGTGTAGTTTGAAGAAGTACCCGCCAGGCACCTAAAAGAATACGACAGCGCAAGCTACATCATGTATTAGCTTACTGGGGCGGCATGCGAGATCTTGGGCCAAGAATCGGTGCTTTTGTCTGCCTGGCAGCAGACTTTTCCATTGACGACAAGATCCAGCTTCTCACCCTTGCCATCGTATCGCACCTGTGCTACAGATAACCGATGTCATGATCTTGGGCTCTGCGGAGACCCAGCGGCCAAGGTTAAGAAGAGACTAGACCTGCTGGGCTTCAACCCTGGCTGCACCGAAGTGGCTGCTACCGATGCCCATTCATCCGCATAGGAGGAGAGGCAAAGGCATCCGATGAAGGTCTGGGACTTCGGGTCCTGCAGCATGCAGCCGTCAATAGAAGCATGACGACGAGCGTGATAAAAGCACAGAGCACAAAGCGGCGGCTTTGGTCCCTGAAGGATCGCAAGCGGAACTGCTGAAGCGGGGTAGCCACGAGCTCCCAGGCGCCGTGGTCGTCAGGGCCGCCTTCAGGAATTGCATACCGAGCACCCTCATCTCGCAAGAGCTGTCACAAGAACTGTCACCAAAAGGATGTTCGATGGTGGGTTGCACAGCGCAACTGCTTTCGATATTGCGAGAAGTATTTCCCGTTGGCTAGGTGCCGCGGAACATCACACATCGCCATGCAATACCACGTGTGTGTGCGTGTGTGCGTCAGATGCCAGCTCATTTCTTGCAAAGTATTTTCGGGCCCGTCAGAAAAACGATATGTCCGAGGTTGCCTATACTGGCATACACTGTGCTCTGCTTCGAAATGTTCTTGCAGATGGCCATCTGCCCCGATGTAGATGTGTGTGTGTGTGTACATCTGTATGTATGCATGTATGTACGTACGTACGTAGATATGTGTGAATTATGTATGTATGTATGCATGTATAATCATATCATGTATGCATGTACCTATGTATGTATGTATGCATGTATGCATGCATGAATGCATACATGTATGTATCATAGTAGATAGAACCAGACTTGCCGGCGTCAGTCCTTCTTTGAGCATAACGGTCGCTTCCTCCGCGTCGTCACTCCCCATGAGCTTCAAGTATGCAAGTGCCTCAGAAGCTGCAGCCGGTTTGCCATATAGAGGCCTGTATGCTTAGAATGGGGTAGGTGAAGGGCTTTTTACAGTATGATACACATGACTTAGGGTGCCCGAAAAATACCACAACTCATTGTTCAGGCCCCTACTTGAAAGTTCTGGGCTTGCTGCCTTTACCGGGGTCCCTATGATAGAAGACTTCAGAACAAAAAGTTAGCCACCTTGAAAGGATCGCTAAACCCCTAAAGTCCTAACAGCCCCAAGCCCCTGGAGCCTGGAGCCCCAGGCCCAAACGCCCTACAGTATACTATTAGGGTTTAGGGTTTAGAGTTTAGGGTTGATGGTTTAGGGTTTAGGGTTATACTATCAAATATCTACTCTACTCTACTCGACCCTCCACTAGTCGAAGCTACACTACTCTAACTCACTGTACCCAACCTTGCACAACACTATTCCACCCTACTCTGGTCTACCCTGCACTACTCTGCTCTACTCTACCCGGTTAATGTAGGGGCCTTAATAATTATTATTAGAATAGGGTTTCGGGGTAAATTATACTATCACTATGATAATGAGCCCCCCCAATAGTATAGGTAACTGTTAAGGCCCCTACGTTAGGAACAGCCGCCCCCCTTTAGTTTCGAAGGCAAGCGGCGGTGAACTCGGTGGACACCGGGGATCCGAGAGACAAGCCAGAGCTGCTCTTCAGGCGATAGGCGTGCCCTCAGGAGAGCTTTCGGCTCTCACACTCGGACAATCCAGGCGAGGCATAGAGCACGAGGTCTGCAAAAGGAGAGCTTTAGGGATTCTTGCCTCTAGGGTTTAGGGCCCAGGTTTGAGACTTGAAGGTTCAGGTTTTGAAGATTTTACCTCTAGGGTTTAGGTGTTAGGGTTTCCGCTTCAAGCTTTAGGGCCTAAGGGCTGTTTAAACGTCCCGCTTCCGTCTCGCAAGACCCGGGAGGCTCGGGCTTCAGCGTTTAGGGTTTCGTTCTTACGCTCGCTTTATACAAAGCTTCACAGGTCGCAGCTTCACTACCTGACGGCCTCCCTTTACACCGCCGTACCCAATCCTAACCTACAGCTACACCGGCATACCAAAAAACAACATCAAACACACCATATGGCCCGAATCCGAACTGATTCGCTTGAGGGTGCAACAAGGTGTCTCCACGAACGTCTGTCTGCTGAAGCTAGTACAACTAGTCAAACAGGGACAGGTCATCGGCAACCACGAGTCTAGTGAGTCTAGTGAGTTTAGATAAGTCACTAGTTTTAGGTCGGGTTTCTCTCTCTGCCTTGCATCCAGAGGTCGGGTTTGGTGCATAGCAGTTGTACGGGCTTTGGGTTTGTAGAGGGTGTAGGGTTTAGTAGGAAATGCAGCTGCCGCCCATCGCCAGCAATCCCGGATGGCTTCACGCTTTCTTGTCTTCTTACACTACTGCCAGTACTATCATTGCTAGCTTATGAGGTTCCATGGCCTGCGGGGGGTAGATTTCTACGTATTCTGCTCGAGCTTGGGGACAGAGGAGGCCAGACCAGAAATAAGCTCCGATTTCAGCCATCCAGCTTCTGGGTGGCGGGAACATCCGCATTCATTGAAAGTTCAGCACTCAAAGTCGAAAACACTCTGAAATCAAGCTTGCATCTATTCCCGGACTCATACCAGCCACGTAATAGGAGAAGACATGACAAAGTTCATTTTTCAGACCGCAAGAAATGCAAACATATACCTCTAAGAGTAGGATCCTGCTCATAAGCTCTGAAATGCCCGAAATAGTCTGAGATCATCCTTGCCGAGTCGCCCTGCTCTGCAATCTCGGCAGCGCCGTCGAACTTCATCGGCTTGCCGGAGGAGCCCTGGTTGGGCACCTTGGGCACCCTTTTTACAACAGGCTTTCCACTTTGCTAAACCCTAAACCCTTTGTCTGCAGAGCCCTGAACCGCCTGAACCCCTAAACTGCTAAGGCTGCGGAAATCCCTGAACCCCGCAATGCTGCAGATCGAAAGCTAGGCGTTGAGTATCGGCTCTTCAATTCTGCCTTGATTTGTGAAGAGCAGTCTCAGCCGTCAACATGCTATTTATATCCAAGCTAGCTATCTCAAGTGATGGCACCAAGGCCCCAGCCGAAGTGAAGTTGGAAAGCACATCTACGGCTTGGACACCCGTCGTGGGCCTCAAATCAGATTCTCGGAGTCTTGAAGCTTGGATACAGCAAAATGCGCTCGAAAATTGAAATCCGGTGGGCCAAAAAATGCTTGAAAGCAATGTCTTGGAGCAGACGAAATGCTACCAACTGCGATCTGTAGCCATCGGTGCTAAGCCTTTCAGGGGATGTTGCACAGCCTGTGCAGATTCAAGCGGCTCCCCACCTGTTCATTTTGCGGATATGCGCCACTGAAGCTGGCAAGTCCAGCAAATTAAGCCACTAGGTGCATCCAAGCACTAAACTAAGCGAAATCATCCAAGCATCTTCTTGCAGCACTTCTGTCCTTATGTTCCAAAAAACTGCAGCTCCTAGCATGCAGCAGACCTCAAGCGCCTTCTTAACGTCGGGACATCATACCGTGCTCTCTCAAAGCATCGAAGCTGGATAGACCAGCAACTGGCCCCAACAATCCAATGGCTGTACTAGCGTCTTGTGCAAGAGCCGCCGCAGCTAGGAGGATTCGCCACAGGAACCTCATCTGCTGTGCATTGGATACCTGGGTCAAGTCAGGGGCTTCGTCTGTGCCTTCTTGTGATTGCGACTAACTAACTCCACGCCCACGGGCCACATTCCCACCCGGGACCTACAGTGCTCATTCTGTGTCTAACTAAATGATTAAGCAATGCATTCCAAACTAGCCGGATGACTCGGGTGAGTGGATTCAACACATACTCCCCTGCATTACCGATTCCAGGAAGTGAACTAATTTGTCGAAACATGCTGTGCAATCTACCTGCTACAGCAGTTGCAGCATCAACTTACCTGTCCGGACATTAAGTTCGGCCAAGTTCGGGCGATATCTGAAGTAACATACCATTATGCAGTTTCCTACGGCCCTCTATTACAGGTGTAACTAGCTGTCAGGGACTGGCCCACATGGTGAGCCAGCATGCGGGCCTTACTCGCCCATATGCACCACGACGAGCCATAATGCTAAGCCGTGGCATCTTGTGCACTGGAAAGCTCTGCAACTTTCTAGCACCCAATGCTTCACAGCTCGCATCTGTTGCTGTGCCTTAATCCTTGGCCCTTTCCCTGTTTCATCCCAAGGCTCCGCCACAGTTCTCACAGACCTCAGTGAACGGGCAAAGCAGCCGCGTCGAAGTCGGCTGGGAGCTCTTCTGGCAGGTGTCTTCGGCCCTTAGCTGGGGACAGGAGCGGACGTTTAATGTTTTGGGCTCGCACACAGGATTCCGCAAAGGTACGTGGCTGGCAGAGAATGCCCGGAGATGACGAGTTCGGGCACTGATGTATGTACCATGGAGAAGTGTGATTGAGCAAAGCCCCCGGCCACCCTCATCGCATGGTGCTGAAGATAGACCCCGCGTGGCATAGCTCTGACGATAAGCTGGCGAGTGGTTGTTCGGACAGCCTCTGAATATCCGACATTCAGAAGTCCAGGGCCAAATCCACCAGGGCAGCCGGGAGGCACCACCCTGCCTGTAGCAGGCACCTGCGTTGGGCTGAGGCTGTGAGGGGAACGGAGGAAGGCTGCTGATATGTTAGTGATCCGAGGCCTGGCAGGTCACAGATCGGGTCTCGGTGACCTCGTCCAAGCCACAGCTGGGGTCACACTCCTGCACGTCGGCGCAAAGTCGGCTCGAAGCTTTCCGAATCTGAAAGCCTCGACGATGTGCTGTGCAACGATCGAAAGCAAACTTCGAAAATCCCAAATCCATATCCTAGTATCCCAAGCCGATATCTTAGCACCCCGCAACCAAAAGCTTAAACTCCTTGACACAAAACTTCTGAACCATGTTATGTTTTCGAAGTGTATCTGAATACAACTCCCGCTTACTTCCCGGATCTTGAACAGCTGTGCCCTCCTGTAACATGTAACTGTACCTATGTGTGTCCATAATTATGTGACAAAGTAAGAGTGTGATATAGACAGAAAGAGACCGAAACGGAGAAGGAGATAGAGAAAGAGGGAAAGAAAATCCAAGAGCGAGCGAGAGCGAGCGTGTGCGAGTGCGGAAACCGCAACACCAAACCTCCATGCATGAGCAGCTCCTTCGTCTCGTCCCAGCTGATGGCGATCCAAGACGCCGTGTCGCAGCACTCGTCGACCTTGACCAAGATTGTGCATGCAATGCAGGTCAGGGGGCCGCATCATATCGGGCGACGCTGAAGGGGCAGCAGGGGGTTCTGAATCCTCAGACAGTCAGCGGTTGTGTCGGTTCTGTCTCCAAGCGACGGAGGAGGCAGAACAAGGAGGGGACATGGAAGCAAATCTGCATACGCATACAAGGTCATGAGGAAACCCCATGGAATAGGTCTCGCCTCGCACCGGGCGTCCTTGCACAGCTCGGCTTTGCCGACGGTCTTGGCCACATAGCCTCCCATTATGTACAATCCACCTGTCTGCCTACCTACTTACCTACATCATTCGCATTCTAGCATCGCCTGCGGGGCAAGTCAGGTCATCGCAAGTTGCACGATGGACCGACACCGTCGTGGTGGTGCTGGTGGTGGTGAACGTGGTGGTGCTGGTGGCCGCAGAGTTGCTTGGCAATGTGGCATTTGGGTGCGTCCACCAGGGCTTCTTTGCGGCACCCATGCAGGTTGTGGGGTAGTGGGCGAGCTTGTCAGGCTGCCCTGTGACCGGCGCCACCACGTCTCCTTAGATATCGAGTTAAGTCAAAGTCGCTCGCAAACGAAGGCATTAGTGGCGGAGCTTTATGAATAGAACAGGTGTTGTGGTATATTATACTATAATTATATTTGGGAACCCCGGCAATAGCATTGGTAATTCTTCAAGCTTCTATATTACTTTCGCTGCAATGCACAAACCGAGCACAGGAGCCGCTGGGGCAGTGATTCGAAGCGAGGCTGTCGGAGTATTTATCGCACCTCGGCGTCGAAACTAAACCGGATCCGCGAGAAGAGAGGGAAGGGTAAAAATTCAGGCGGGCCTGCCAATCATAGCGCGGTCGATCGTGATGTTCTTTAGACGCTTGCACCAGAGAATGCAGATTAGCAGACGAACATACTCTATCGTGTGGGACTTGCGAGGTACAACACCCCTTTGAACCTTCCGGCTTTCAGCATGAAGCGCATAGCCAAATTTAAGCAGCCTCAACTTAATCAAATCTTGTGGCAGCCTACCAGAAGCAGCAGACATGACCTGCAGATACTCAGATACTTGGAGGTTCTGTTGTAGTTAGAAGTGGGGCTGCAAGTCCCCCGAAATTATAAGTACAACTCTCCTCTTCTGACCCCACTTATAACTACCCATCCCTTTTGAAACCGGACTTGATGACTGCCATCCCTAAACCCTAAACCCTAAACCACCAAAACCCTAAACCCTAAACCTCGAAGTACCGACTCAGGCTCCCGCGCGCAGCCCTCGTCCCGGGTGCAAGCCTCCTGGCTGCGCAGATCGCAGCTCCCGTCGGACCGATACCTTGCCAGAAGCTGCCGTATGGATGGTTGTCAAAATTAGGGTCCCTTTTTGGGTCCTTATTATAATACGGCACCTATTGTTTAGGGTGCCCCAAAAGGGACCATAATTTTGACAACTACCCATATAGGATACTGTAGTATCCTATACTATGGTAGTGCATAGTATATAGTATCGTCTGGTCTAGTCTGGTCTAGCGTCGTATGGTGTAAATATAGTCGTATCTGCTAGTTAGTTGTCTTCATTGGGGAGGCGGGCTTCGAAAGCCGCAAGAGCAAAGAATCCGGAGGGAGTGAAGGGCTGCTGGGCGCCGGGCTGAACCGCCTTGCAGCGCTTGTCTTCGGTGCAAAGAGCCCGGCAGGCTGCTAAGCTCGGCACGCCTTCCCAGGGGCCGATGGAGTCTGTGGCATCGCAGCTTGAATCTGAATAGTGCTTGGAAGTAGATACGAAACTATCCCAACTACCAACCACTTTGCAATGCCAGAAACAAACCAATCGGAGAACAACGACAACGGGTCAAAAGTTTGGAGCTATGCAATAGCCTTGCAATCCTCGGGGGCTATCGGCTATCGTTCTTATTGACGACGACCCGGCAGAAGTGACGACAAGTATCTGGGAGTTTCCGACAATTAGGGTACCTTATTTTGGGGTCCTTATAATAAGGATCCTACTATTTAGGGTACTATATTAGGGTCCCCTATTTTCGGAAACCCCCATCTCTACGCTCTCCACTCGACGAGGCCTGACCGGGTGGAGAGGATGTTGAGCTTGCACCACAGGCCCCGCGGCTCTGTCCACGCTGAAGCCTCACGGTCACCAAAGTCTCTATATATATATATATATATATGTTATATATATATATATATATACATATATGTTATATATATATATATATATGTATATATATATATATATTATATACGTTTCAGAAGCTCTACGCCGCCGAGCATGAAGCTTTTACAATCCGGCCGCCTGCACGGGCAAAAGACACTATCCTCAGTAGCTAGACTCTAGAGTCTAGAGCTTATACTGTACAACTGTTGATGGACAAAATCCTGCATGACCCTATATACCTAAACTATAGGAATTATGATACTAATACTATATTTGGGTCATGCAGGATTTTGTCCATCAACCGAAGGATCTCCCGTGGAATCGAACTTCGATGCTTGCTCGAGCCCTCTGCCAGGCTGAGGAGCCTCGGAGAACTGAGCCACGATGTGATCGATGTCTGCGTCAGTCAGTGCCTCGGCCAAGCTACGCCCCACGGAAACTGCTACATGCTCTTTCCACTTGCAATGGCCAGCAACACCGTGTGCTGACGGCCGAAATATGGGGGTTTCCGAAAATAGGGGGGGGACCCTAATACAGTACCCTAAATAGTAGGATCCTTATTATAAGGGCCCCAAAATAAGGTACCCCTTATTTTCGGAAACTCCTATCGAAAACTTCACTTCACTCTGAGCCCTGGACGCCGTCCCAGATCTGGACCTCAGCTGCCAGCTTCTCGGGTGCAGAACTGCAGGCTCGCCGGGAGATCGACTGCAATAGTCGGAGCCGTGACTCATGTTGACAGCTCATCTTGGGGACCATACTGAGGCCGGTCAATGTAAGTATCTGTTTTTGTATATGCGCACACGCACGCTTGTCTACCTAGTCGGTTGAATGGTCAGCCGCAAGAACGAAGAACTGCCCACCAAACCTTGTTTCGAAAATCCGCGACGGTGAAACCTTAAAGTTCATCGAGAAATGTCGAGAAACCCAAAACCGAAACGAAACCACGGAGTCTCCAAATTCTGTGGATCCTTGGACCTTACCCGGAAGTTTAGGGTTTAGGGCTTTAGGGGTTTAGGGGTTCAGGGTTTAGGGGTTAGGGTATAGGGTTTAGGGTTCAGGACAGGCCGGGATGCTGCGGAGACCTCTCCGACCACGCCAGGCCGCCGGTGACCGGGAACGAGTCCCACATGCACGGGAGCACTGCCTCGGAGATTTGTAGCGCTTGTAGTCGTAGTAGTAGTAGTTGTTGTTGTTGTTGTTGTTGTTGTTGTTGTAGTTGTTGTTGTTGTTGTTGTTGTTGTTGTTGTTGTTGCTGTTGTTGTAGTAGTTGTTGTTGTAGCAGCAGCAGCAGAAGCAGCAGTAGGTGTAGTCCTAATACTGGTACTGGTACGGTACTGGTGCTTGTGGTGGTGCGCATAGTGAAAACGGCAGCAGCGCAAGCTCGAAGCAGCAGCAGAAACAGCAGCAGCCACATTGCCATTCTCTGTCCTCACACTTGCCACGCAGTTGCGACAAGTGTTCCCAAGATGACACAGGCGATTCCAAACCCAGTGCGCAAACAACAAGAGCACACCGAATTAAACTTAGCAGCATTAACATTAGAAGAGAAATAAAAACATCATGTTCCTACACGGAGGTACCTGCATCCATGCAACCGCACAAAGAACATGCTGCATAGTAAAACGATAGTGGGACTAGGGGAGGCTTGTGCTGCCCATGATTGATTCTTGCCTCTCGCCTGGCCAGGACGAACCTGCGATGCAGGATGATTGCCTGATACTCGTCAGTTAAGATCGCAATGCCAGTTCGTCACGACGATTCCGAAGATCACTGCGTGTGATTGCCTCATACTCGTCGTTTAGGATTGCGATTCGGAGTCTCCGCGACGCTCCTAGTGGATTCAGCTTGCACGTTTCTCTGTGTGGTTTTGGGCCTTTTCACGCTCAGGACCCTCGGGATCGTCATGCGAGTGAGTGAGTGAGTAGATGACTGAGAGCGTGCAGAGGCCTCTTCTGGGTGCGAACGATAGTCACCATGGCAACACTGAAGATGATAAATGCTGACGCAATGGTGATGGAAAATGATGATGATGAGGAGGAGGAGGACGACGACGACAATGATGCTGATAGTTTATGCGGATGATGAACATAAGGATGAGACGATGTCAAGGTCGAGAACTATAACTGATGCAAGTGGTGCTGGTGCCCGAGGACAGAGCTCTGGGGCACAAAACTAGCAAGAGCCAGGGTTGCTTCTCCAGCAAGACCAAGACACTTCCAGCCAAGACACTGTTGCGTAGAGCCACATCCGACCATGAGGGATCCTGAGTGGCATCTGAAATCCGAAACCCTTTTTGGAACCCAGGCTCTGCCAATCAGCTGGGAAGCAGCTCAAAAGCCTAAAGCCTAAACGCATCCCCATCACTTCACATCTCTGGCCGACAAGTCGCCGAAGATCTTTGCGCGGCAATTTTTCAGACAAGAGGAAGTGAGCTTCACTCAATGCAATTGCCCGGGAACATCGTAAACATAGATGGTGCCTAGATTCTGAAACGGCCATAGCCTCGCAGCAGACTTTGCCATTCACCACCAGCTCGATCTTCTCGCCTTTGCCATCATAGCGCACCTTGGCTAAAAAGCTGGCTCTTCAAGCATTCAGACTAGCGTGGTCGTTGTGTTCGCGGTGAGCCCTCCAGAGACTGCCAGGCTGCTGCGACTGCTGCCCATTCATCCGCATAGGAAGACAGGCACAGGCATCCGATAGCAGCTTGAGATTTGGAATCCTGCAGCAGAAACTCACGGAGGGTCGATAGTTGAGGTGCCTCACAGCGGACTCAGTTTTCATACCTGTCGAATTGAAATTGAAGCAGCCGGAACACCACGGCAAACTGTCCTTGAAGGATCGGACTCGGAGCTGCTTCAGCGGCGTGGCAGTGAGCTCCCATGCGCCGAAGTCGCCTGGCCCGCCTTCATCGCGTGGAACCATGCAGGTCACACCCCATGTCCGGAGGGCTCCAGCAATCTGTAGCAGAAGTGAATGGGAGTTTCCGAAATTAGGGGTACCTTATTTGGGGGTCCTTATAATAGGGATCCTATTATTTGGGGTACTATATTAGGGTCCCCTATTTTCGGAAACCCCCACTTAAAGTTTAGGCCTACAGCTGAAGCCCGGACAACCAGCAAGTTGGGCAGCAATGCAATTCCCCATGCTCGACGTGTAAGCTCACATGGGCCCTGGCCTTCCTTTAGCATCACGGTTTCTTCTTCTGAGCTGTCGCTCCCGAGGAGTTTGACGTAAATCACAGCCTTACAAGCAGCGCGAAGGCATCTGGAAGGCAGTGAGGTGTCTGACTAAATAATTTGATGGACGAATACTCCACATGAGGCTCCGTCTTGCAGACAAGAGGCCGTAAATTCTGTGGACTTGGTTCCACCAAGCGGAAGCCCCGTTTTGCCACCCAGATAGTAAGCTTTGCCTGGAGTGGCACGGACGGAAAGGGGGCACCGCTCCCGACCCGGAAAATTCCTCCATCTTGGCGAAATTTGTGATCTATGCCGAGATACCGCCCTCGGCCGGAGTCGCTGCCTCGCCATCGAACTTCACCGATCCACCTGAGGAACCTTGGTTTGCCACCTGGCGTCGACAGTGGGCGACCGGCAGCTTCGCTTCAATCGGGGTGGAGTTCTGACGCTAGTGGAAGTCTTGCTCCTGGCTCATGTATGAGCTCCATCTGTGGTTCACCATTCTGAAACTTTGAGGGCAATGCTCTAGCGGCGACTTTGTGGTGCATGGATGCGGGTGTAGGCTGCAACGGGTGCAAGCGCAGGTAAGGGTGTATGGTGCGACGGGTGCAAGTGCAGGCTGCAACTGGTGGGTGTAAGGCGCAGCGTGCGGGCGCAGGTGGCAACGGGTGCGGGTGTAGGGTGCGACGGGTGCCGGTGCAGGCTGCAAGTGGTGGCTGTAGGGTGCGAAGACAGGTGGATGTGGGGTGCAACGGGTGCGTGTGCAGGGTGCGCGGGCGCAGGCGTATGGTGCAACGGGTGCTGTTGCCCATAGAGGGCGACTGCATGGTATGTGGCTGCAGGCTGCATTGGATGCAGATGTAGAGTGCAGACAGCGTGGTCGATGGTGCATCGGGCGTGGGTGTCGGACATGGGCTGGCTCTAGATGTAGGGATACGAAGAGTTTTGGAGCCTCCAGCGCCAACGCATTGGCTTCACGTCAACAGGCTTTCGTTGGCATGCCGAAAATCACGACCTACACGTTGCACCCTACATCTGCCCCCGTTGCAACCTACACCGGCATCTGTTGCACCACGCGAACCCCCTGCATCCCACACCGCCTACACCTGAACCTGCACCCGTCGCACCGTGCACCCTGACCTATTGCACCCTAGACGCGCACCCATTGCACCATAGACCCGCACCCGTTGCACCCTGGACCCATACCCGGTGCACACTACGCCCGCACCACATACATACACCTACCTGCGCATGTTGGTTCAATACCAACCATAGACTGCATGGCTCAGGAAGCTTGATTAGTTCAGGCCTAAAGTCGCCACCTGCCTTAGCTGCCTTACCTTTCCAGATGTAGTGTCTGACCAGTTGCCGTAGCGCACTGCTGACTATCTGACTATCCCTTCTGCTGTAACGACATGACAATCCTTGTGGTCGCATGGGAGGCTTGCTGTTGGCGGTAGCATGACGCCACTAGCTTGCTGCGAAAACTCTTGCCAACTCGTTGCAGTATTCGGCATAATCACGGCCAATATCATTACAACCGCGACACATTGAAGAATGACCGCCATAGTGGTCACGATAATCAGAAGCCTACCGCTGACTCCGACAAGGCAGCAACTAGTGACAGGGACAAGCTCTCACAGTCGCACGAGTAACAACTTTCAAAATGCGTAAACCCATAAAAAAAGCGATACTAGTCCAATGATAGCAATAGTCGCATTCGAAGCAAGAGCAGTAGAAAACCAACATTGCAGTAGGACGAACTAGCAACAGTAACAGACGAAGAGTCACTGCAGCAAACAGAAACTTGACGCTCAAGACACTGCAGCAGATCGCAGAAGTTGTCGGCAGAGCAGCAACAGCACGGCACCCACAACAATCGCAGTCGCAAAAACGAATGACCAGGAGGAGCGGCACTAGCAGCAGCAGTCTAGTATCAGTAGAACAAAGGAGGACTGAGCAGGCTCAGAAGGAGAAGGACAGTTGCGGTCGACATAGCAGTGGCATAATAGCCGCCACATTAGTGCAGCGGTCATACCGGTGGTCGGTGGCAGTATAGTAGCAGGCGTCATCGTCGCAGTACTGGTGGGGGCCGTGGCAGTGGGAGTAGGCAGTAGTCAATAGTTAGTAGTAGCGGAGGTAGTGGTAGTGGTGGTGGTAGTGGCAGCGGTTGTGGTAGTGCTAGTGGTGGAGGTAGTAGTAGTAGTAGTAGTAGTAGTCGTCGTCGTCGTCGTCGTAGAAGAAGTAGTTGTGGTAGCAGTAGCAGAAGAAGAAATAGCAGTAGAAGAACTCTTTAGAATTAGCACGGCTGCGACTGCATGGGTACTCGCATAGTCATAGTCGGGATAATGACAAGCACATTACCCGAAATGGCAGCACCAGAAGTACTAGCAACGAGTCGTGGTGAAACAGAAGCACTGCTCACAATAGAAGCCTAACCCACCTGGCCTGTACGGAGTTCTGCACAGCCGACGCATTCTCTTGCACATCGGTAGCCTGAAAGCCTGCAGCGAACCTTGGCTGTGCTATGAGCTATCGACAAACTCACGTGGCCATTGCAGCTGCTTGTCCTTACGGTTAGGGTTTAGGGTTTATGGTTTCGGGTTCAGGGTTTAGGGTTTAGTTGCGTGCCTTTGACATGTAGTTGTCATTTCAATCAGTCGCATGCTGCCTGTCCACTCGATGCCCCCGCCTCTAACTCGCATCGACCCCTGCGTGCAAACTCTCCAGATCATGCAAGCCACTTCTTGCAGCAAAGCTCTCCTTAGCATGTGGAAGACCAAAAAGAAAGCGGAAAGAGCTTCCACAACTAATGTAGGGGCCTAAATGATTACCAACAGTATTTTGGAGGTTTCTTATAATAAATATAATATAATATACTCCAAAACCTTATTTTAATTATTAAGGCCCCTATATTGACCGGGCGAGAGCCCAGGACTCTTTGCGCGTGCAGCCCACCATGCATGCAGAATTCGCCCACTGGCTGAGGTCTCCGCCTACCCAATCAAGGCACCACTCAAAGTCACCTCCCCAAAACTACGTAGCCTCAAGGGCCTCAAGCATAACCTGAATCAGTCGAGAAAACTCCGGCTGGCACTTCCAAGCTTCGTGTGCAAGAGCTCCCACAATTTGGAGGGTCAGTCAAGGGCACCGAATCTCCGCCACACCAGATGCCTAAGGGCTCCGACAGCACAAAAATTGCAGGCAGCTTCAGCCATTGGCCGATCCCGGTAGCAAGAAACAAACACTAAACACACCATGCGCTGACACATCACCCCCACAGGCCAAGAAACTGCCGCAACCGTCGCAGTCTGCCGTGGCTTCACAGAGCACGCGTTTGGAGGCAGGCTCTTCTTCCCGGCAGGTGGCCCGACTCCTCGGCCGGGTTTGGACTCAAGGAGTTTATATGAGTGCCCGTGTCGAAAACAGTGCCGACACAGGAGCCATGTCACACTGCCAGACTGCTACTATCTCTATCTTCTTTCGTAAACCCTGATCCCCAAGCCAACAGCAAACTGCAGTCAGGAAGCACTTCCTGTCCGGTGGCTTTGACCTGCAGTGTGAATCCGTGATCGTATCACAACTTCTCGATAACAGAGTTTCAATCCTTTCCCGAAATACCCTCCCTCCCTTGTCCCACCTGGCAGGTCACTGACCGGGACTCCACGATTGATTTCAGGCCACAACTGTGGCCACACTCCTGCGCTCTCATAAAAGACAAGTGCGACACTTGCCACCACTTATTCCCACGGCTTCTGTATTGACTTTTAAGCAGTCCTTGGTCTCGTCCCAGCTCTTGTACACCCACGACGCCAAGTCGCAGCAATCTTCGGCCTGCTAACGGTATTCCCACGAGATTCCTACACAAGCAACTCCAACAATGCTGGTGCACCCAGACAAGTGCTGTGTCAGGGTCCTTGCAAACTCCTCCGTCACACTCAGCGGTCCGGTTGACCAGCGGCTTGGGCACACTTCCTGCAACGGACGTTCAAAAGCCCTTAAGACCTGCCCCAAAGCCCGAGGGGCTCGGCCCTTCTATCTAGGCAAATCTTAGCAACTCCTGCCTCCCGGGCACCTCACGACATCGCAGGTGACCAAGGTGGTGGTGCTGGTGCTGGTCGTGGTTGTGACTGTGCTTGTGGTCGTTGAAGTGACGGTCGTTGAAGTTGTGGTGCTTGTGCTCGTGCTCGTTGTGCTTGTCGTGACCTGAGGCAGTGGAGCAGAAACTCGGAAGCACAGGTTCTGCAACGGAACTTGCATGTAGGTCTGGCCGTGAACTTCGTGTGACGCCTGGCTGCAAAGCGTCACACTTGTGCGATCTCAGCGGCACAGAGCGGGGTCGCCGGGCATAGAATGCGACTCGTCTCCGGCTTCGGGCCTGCTTCGCAAGGGCTGTTCAGCGACTGGGGCGGCCGGCTGCATGTGGGTATCAGTGAGTCAAAGCTAAAACCATCGGCGCACCTAGCCCTCGCACGAAGTCACTAGGAATGGAATTCCAACCCTCAGCAGCCTGAGCTCTGAAAACCCCGCGGCTCTTCCTCCCAACCCGCCTTTGCAGAGATCGTCTGCGACAACTTCCAACGTCTTGGGGTTGGTGCAGTTCACGGGCCGCTCTTGGGTCAACTGGCCTCTGCTTCTCAGGCCATGCCGGGGGTTTTGGTTTCGTGAAAGGTTAGGGGGCTTCATGAAGGCCCGTGGTATGCTGTGAAGCATAGTCAAGCTATGCTCTCCGAGGATCAGGGCCTCAGGGTGCTGATTCAGAACAGAATAAATGGAGGTCCGTTGTTCGGGGTCCACGTCGGCATGACTCGAACGTAAACCTCCGCTGAAGAATTTGAGACTGGAGGGACTTCGTACCTCAGGTCGAACTTCGTTTGGAAGTCCCAGAACTCCTCGTAACCCCATCCATCGCAGACTACACGAGAGGAACACAGGAATATAGCGAAAGAGGGAGACCTTGGGTAGTTAATGTTCTGATCAGACTTGGAAGCTGGGTTGACTTCCGAGCAGGGTTTACTCTGGATCTTGGACTGCCCATGACTGAGTCAACGGGTAACAGGAGATACACGATTCAATCATAGAGAAGACAATCTTCGCACAACTAACACTGCTGGGCATCTGCCACGTTTTGTTGATCAGCGTCCTGCTATCCTTGGTCAGCCACGCCGCCTTGACCACAATCACGCTCGGAGCAGTCCCATGTCTTGTTGTCCCTTAGGCAAAAGCACTGGCTCAGCAGACTCCCAGCTTCGGTAAAGCCGCGCAGCACTACCAAGGAGGGCTGACGGATGGAGGGAGTTGCTAGGCTTTCATCAAGGCACCAGGGGCTGTAGATCCACTCAGGGCAGACCGGCGTGGCAGCACAAGCGACCTCGAGTTGGTGCTGCAGCGCTTTGAGAAGTCATGCATGCTGGAGCCGGGTGTGTTGGCCATGGGGCCATGGTCCGGCATAGCTTGGTACAAGTCGGGAGCATGGCTGGGCCACAGGCATCATCGGACCCTATGCTCAGAACCCTTAACCACCAACATCCAGGACCCATACCGTATATCCCAAACTAGACCTCAAGATCCGACACCAAGTCCCTAACCCTAAAAAAGACACCGAGGGTCCGGACCTTGCTGCTTGCTGGCTTCTTCCCAGCACAGAGGCCGTCCTCCACGACGTGGCCGGAGGAGTCCTTCCGGGTGTTCAGGGTTGTTCAGAGTCTGGGGTTTTAGGGGCTTAGGCTAATGAGGGTTTGGGATTTGAGGGTTTACACTCTCACAACTCGGACAAGCCAGGCGAGGATCCATGTGTGCGCAGTCGGTGTGACAACATGATGGCAGCCGACGCCTGCAACTAACCAAGAAAACAAGGATGCTGCCAAAGGACTACAAGGCCCGAAAACCCCAGAACAACTTCCAGGCATCCGCACAGCTTTTTTTCAGTGCGCAAGAAGCTAAGGCTTGCCGCAATCCTTCTGTAAAAGTGTGCGCTCTGAGGTCTAGGAGCGGAAATTCAACACCCCAGGCCCTAGCTCTGACTCTGCGAGAGCTGCAAGGGCAAGGCACCAATTTCTGGTGCAATGATCACCTGCGCTCCAGCAGTGAGCTGAGGTGGTGGTCAAGTCGATCCGTCAGAAGAACCGAAGGAGAGAATCGCTCTGCTGTTTAAGTCAAGCTGGAGGACTATCTTTTCAACAGTCCTTCCGACGAATCTCAAAACTTGGTCGCATCATGCTGTCATATGAAGCACTCGTTCGTGCCACACCTGGAAAATCCCGACGCCAAACCCATAATTCAGGAGGATGCCGAACACGAAGGCTACCAAGAATCCGATTCCATCCGAGGCATCAGCGTAGCGCACAAAGAAGGAGCACTGTAGCCTTTCCTGATACTGCTTCACGTCCCTGGAGAACTGCTTGTCCATCTTGCTGGGAACATTGATGGCATAGACATCACTATGTACCAAGTGGTGAAGCGTGTGCCATTGTATGCACGACTTGTGCGGCCACATCGTATGAGTTACCACGTTAGGACCGGAATATGCAGCGTGGAAGAGAAGGTAAGGAATGCAGGCGAGGCTGTTGCAGAAGAAGAGAGTGCCGCCTTCTAGCCATGCTTCCCAAATTCCAGCTGCTGGAGTGGTTGCATAAGTACCCTTGCAAATATGATGTTCCAAGTGAGCCAAGCGGTACAGGGGCTGAACCTCGTGGTACAACTTGTGAAGCCAGGCAAACTTGAACTCCACCATGCGATGAAAAAACATGTGCTCGACCATCACCACGGCATAGTGGATGTAGTGGTACGGGTAGCCACAGTTCATCTGCAGAATAGCCAAGGCCGTCTGTAGCTGTGTCACGACTGCATTTTGCGATGTGGTGTACAGAATCTCCATGATCGCTTCCGACTTGCTCAGGTGGTTCTCCCTCTGGAGCACATCATGCACTATCTGGAAGCCTTTGCACCAAACTGGACACGATGCAAGCAGCACCGCCCCCATTGCGTACATGATAAGCACAGTGTCTTGCACACTGGACTCGATTGTACTCAACGGGAACTCGATGTAGCCTTGCATCCAGCTTGGAAGGAATCGCTCCAGGTAGAGAAGGATCAGGTAGCGCAGCGCCAACTGCGTGAAAGAGACCATCGCAACTGCCGTGCCCATGACCCAGTTGTTGATCCAGCCCGCCACCTCCTTGACGCCGAACTGGAACATGTTTGCCCGGAAGATGTAGTAGTAGTAGCACAAACACATCACCAGCATGGGTGCCAAGGAGTAGATGGCGATGAAACGTTGGTATTCAAGCGAGAACCCTGCCAGCCGGTTCAGCACGAGCATGAAGGGCATGTATGCGATGACGTTGAGGACAGCTGTGGGCCCCGTCTTAAGTGGCACACACTCCTCCTGAACTTCCTTGCTGGCCTGCGCATGGGCTTCCCAGGAGCCCCGGAAGTAGCCGATCGCGACGCGACAAGTGGCCAGGTAGACGCGGAAGAAGCCGAAGAGCATGGCTGAAGAGTGGCTGAAGAGTGAACACCAGGTGGTATCTGTACAGAGGACAGCTTGGAGCAAAATCTTGCAGCACGTTTACGGTGTAGGGTAGGGGGTGTGCTTCAGAGTTAACGTTCCGGGGCTTGCCATGCTCGAGGGTCTGGCTCGGCTAGGCACGGGCACGACAAAGCGGGTGCGTAGCTGCGATTTGAATCGAAGTGGCCTTGGAGACTGGAAGTTCAGGGGTTCACAAGCTGGCAGTTCGGCTGGGGATCAGTGCAGTCGGGAAGACCATATCTAAATGGACCTGCTGGACATGTGCCGAAGCTCTGCTTCAAAACAGCTCCCTAGGATTTGAAGCTACAGCTACACAAGTTGTTTCCGTCTGGTGCTTCCGGCTGTCGTTCCTCAGGCCAGACAACCACAAAAAATGTCCCGCTCTTGCCACTCCACATGAGTGGGGTTAGCTTGTATAAGCCGCAGGACGGGGCCCCAAGTGGAAGGTTTAATGGAGTGATTCCGGCTAGGCTTTTCTTTCGGCCCTGCCTCGCACGTCACGCTCCGATTCACCGTCCTAAGTGAAACAGGACATGCGGTGCGACATTATCATTAGGTTGAATCTGTTGAAACTGCTCAAGACGAAACAAAAGAGTAGCAAGAGTGATGGAGATGGAAGTCGTGCATTGCTGCAGCCGTCGTAGTGGTTGTCGTCGCTGTTGTCGTAACAATGTATAGAATGAGAAGCAGTAGGACCATATGCATGCGCGCGAGAACATTCAACAGTGTGACCACAACCGCGGTCGTAGTAATAGCACCAGCCAACTGAGTAAAGATACCCCAAATAAGGTCAATAGATTCTAAAGTTGGCGCATGCCAGTCCTGCCACGAGTCGCCGAGAGAAGTGAACCTATATCCAACCCACACACAACAGGACAACCCTTGTTCTCAACATCCATGCATCCGGCAGTCAAAGCCAAACAATGAATATGCTCCACCGTCTCCCATCAACGGGCCTAGCCTCTCCCTTACACGCAAATGCCGAATCCCTACAGAACGACGAGACGCTGAGACCCCAGGCCCTGTCAAGCTCCAACAGTAGTAATCACAATAATGATAACACAGTATGTAGTTGCATAACAAAATCGACTCTCTTCCTTGATTGCACCGAGGAGCTGCTCCGGCTCTCCGCACTCGTTGGAGCAGCTGGGCGTCTTGGGCCAACTCTCCATCTTCCACTCGGTGGGCCCACAGCACACCGCCCTGCAGAGTTTGACTGGTCTAGGGTTCAGGGTTAGGGTTCACGGTGGCTAATTTTTTGAGAGTTGAACTGTAGGGTTGGACTCGCACACTCGGACTCGCCAGGCGAGGCTCGGGACGAGGCATGCAATAACTACGTGGGTTTAGGGTGTTTTGCCTGCATACATGAAAACCGTCCCGTCCCTCCGGGCATGTCATTGGACTTGCTGGTTGTGAGGTTTGCGGTGGGTGAAAATCTCATGAAAACTTTCTTTCCATTGTGGCCACAGGCACCGCAAGGTGTTGTTGAAGACCGAGAAAGGTCAGTGCAAGATGAGACTGGACTAAAGCTGAAAACCGTGACTCATGGTAGGGGCCGACATTTAGAAGAATCGAAGTCACCTTGCCCGAACATGCAACGAATTCGTCTTCACCGCCCTTCGGGTAGTCGTCTTACTACAAGTCGTTTATAGGCATCGCTGATAGGAGAGCTCCGGTTCATGACTACCTAGGGACTTCGATCATGCCTCTTGCTGCCGAGGCTCTCTGCACACGTCATGCCATCTCGGATTGGGCGTGGAGTGGTGTGGACATGCAGGGTGTAATGCAGTGGAGCAAAACAGCAGGCAGAAGGCTCAATAGAAGCCTTCCATTCGTCTCTGTAGTTCTATAACTTTACGCAGCTAGGTGCAATACAGCATGGCAGTGTCCGTCCGTGAAGCTGCAATAGAACTACGGCACAGTCCGGGCAGCAGGGATGCTTGCCTCCCTCTCAGTATCGAAGCAAGGTTTCAGCTACTGGCACTAAACCGAAAACTCCTTCATCGGAATCGAGCATTTCAACGCCACCATCCTACAACTGGGTGATCGGGCAAAGCATCTTGTGGACTCTGAGGAAAAGCTCACCACAGCCACAGGAGTATGCAGTCGAGAAGCCGCAAATGCGAGCCGGGAACTTCACTGCGGTGCCGACCGGGCAGTCGGCAGCAGAGCACACCTACACCAAGTGCAAGCCCCGCACTGCCCAGGAAAAGGCCTGAAGATGCTCAGAATTGTGGGGTCCATAACTGGCACTTTTCCGGACATGCCCACCTTTAAAAGACCCCAAATCGTCAAAGGCTTGCAAAATCTCTCAGCCTTGTTGCAGCATTCTGCAACGGTGCAGTTCTCGCCTGGCATAACGCAGAGGCATTTCAGAAAACAGAGATGGGATTTACACTTGCCACTGCTGCCTCCACTTGGAATACCTTTTTGGAGGCTGAATGCAACATGAACTACCTGCTGCGGCCAAGATGGCTGGGAAAAAGCTGTAGGTTATAGCGGACTCTCGGGTTGCTGCTTCGCCATCATTGTCATTTGCTCCTTATAACCCCGCCCCGTCTGTTCTGCAGCCTTGGCATGAAGCAGGGACAAGTTGTTTCACCACGTAGCCCTTGTTGCAGTCCGTGTCCTTCGAAGGCGCGGTCTCACATGCGACATCTTGCCCAAGCTTCAAGCACAGTCATTAGTCTACTGCAGAGGGGTCCAGGAGTATGAACAGGCGCACAGAGAACCGACATCTCTCCTTGTGGAATTGACCCTACAGGATTCCACGAATTCGGCGTGACCCCGAATGTCGCTGTCCCCGGCCTCGCAGACACCGCATTTGGGCGTTTCCGCACATTTCGTGCGCAGGGTGTTGGGCTTCGTCTGAGTGCACATGCTCTCGTCCTCCGGGGGTACATCGCCGGCTTGCCAGGTGGGCATGAACTTCGGTGTTATGCGAAGTCATAATTGCTGTATCATGCCACGTAGAATACATTTTTTGGCACTCGCGCTCGACGAAGTCAGGCGAGGATTCCGGAAGACATAGAATACATACATGACCCCTCACACGTCCAAATCACTGTGCAAGGCTTCCAAAGCATGCACCGAAGCTGAGAAGTTGCGAAACTTTGGGCAGGCTACAGTCAGCTTTTTTGAATCGGTAGAAGCAGGCTGGCCCTCAACTCTACCGTCCAGGGATGGTTGGCTGTGCACACACATACAGCGAAGCAAACCCAAACACACCGCATACTTGTTTTGACGACAAGTGAAGAAGATGGAAAGGTAAAGATAGCAAGCTGACGTGGGTAATTAGTGGTGATTGCTGTGACGCAGACTTGACAACGCACCTGGTCTCTGCTGCAATCGCATGAACAGAAAGTGCAGGTATGTGCAGGCCGGCACATCTCGAAGTGAATCAAAATGATCTGCCGCTCCGCAGCAGGTCAAGAGTCAGAGGGAAAGACCGAAAGAGAGAAGAGATACTGTCCAGCTTCACTCCGCTGTCGAAGTCCCAGCACTCGACCTTCCGCGTCTCGTACCTCACAACAGGCGCGACAACTTCAACCCTGAAGCCCCCGAAGCGAAGAGCCGCCTGTCAGCTTCTGAAGCCTGAGCTCGAACTCCATGGACTCATCCTTCCCCGTCTTTGCGAATAGGATTGTAGCCTTATGGTCCTGTTGCAAGTGAGGAAGGGCACTCGGCTGCAAGCCCACAGCTCATGTCGCAGTTCGCCAAAGGCCATGATTCCTCGGAGCTCGTTCCAGGGCTGACATGTCCCCAAGCCCTGGGGTGCTCAACTTGATCGTCTAGGAGACGGTTTACCATTGACCACCCGCCATGGCGCCAAAGTACTGTCCCCTATGCAGGCTCTCTGCCACAAAATCTAACATCAAGTCCATTGTGAAGTGAGGCTGAACAGCTGCCCAGCAGCATACTTCCAGCCAGGATTGGTCGGCGCGACGCAGCATTCCTTCACGGATCTGAGTTGGGCGTTCAAGGCACTTGTAAGTCACCAGTCTTGGCAGCCCGCCTTTTGCGAGAAGCCTGTGAGCTGCTTGGCATTGCGCTTTAAAACCTGCCCATCAGAAGAAGACCAGCTTCGGTGCATTTCGGACAGCTGCCCCAGCCCTTCAAAACCAAGCACGACCCAACAGATCGCTGCTGCTTCAATATGCTTGGTCCCTAAGCCAAGAAACTAACCTGCTCTTAGTCGCAGAATGCTAGTACGGTGTATATATATCTATATGTATATATATATATATATGTATATTATGGATATATATATATATATTACATTATATATTATACTAATATAGAATTCCCAGTAGCAGCCGGATGCAGTCAACGCAACGCCGTCTGCTCGACAATTCTATCCCCTCTCGCTCTGCCGTGCCATCCTCCAAGGTCGCGCTCTGCAAGGGCAGGCACTGGGAATTCTATATTAATATGATATATAATGTAATATATCAAATATAATATATCATATATAATATATCATATATGATATATCATATATATATATATATATATATAATATGTACGTATATATAATATAGATGCCCCGATAGAGGAACTGCAATGTCTTTGCCATCCAAGGTGCGGTTGTGCTGTTGCCTCAGGCGCACCCAGCAACACTTGGATGAGAGGGCAGCCGGTGAACTATCCATGGTCAAACCAAACCAAAGTCAATGCCCGCCCACATTGCCGAACGGACATGGCAGCTGGACGTCCGAGCGACAGGAAAAGTACCAACACCTGGTGCAGCAGTCCGCAGAGCAGGCATCGGCGGGCGCTTTTGTAGGCAAGGTCTCCTGGGTCTCAGGCTGAGTCGGCTGAGTGCATCGCTTGAAGATGTTGAAGCTTACCGAGCTCGTACCACCGACTCGATCCATCCCCTGTAAACTCTTCCAACTTGGTTTCGAGTTAAAGGTCATAGCTGGCATGTCAGGGGCTAGCCTGCAAAACTCGAGCCACTGCCCGGCCAAGTGACATACTCATCCCGCTTGTAGGATCCGGTTCCGGGCCTGGCGTTGCTGGCGCGATCCAGCTTTAAAGGGACATTTTGGAGTTTTAATTTGGAAGGCGGCTAATGCTATCGAACTGTGCAGAACATGATTTTGTGCGCAAGTGATTGCAAGGTTCACGGTCTGAGCCCGGCAGAAGCACATAGCTTTTCCCACGAAAGTCCTTCCTGAAGTTGGAGCAAGTCTGTCCTGTCCATGAACTCAAACCTACGGAGAACCGGGTAATCGAGGAGACCCCCAACACTCCAAACCATACCGCAAATTCCCCAAATCTAAAAACGTGAGCCCTGCCACAAACCCGACCCAAAACCATTGAATCTGCGGCAAAGGGGCCGCCCAAAGCTGGGCTCTTCACAGACCCGGGAGGGCATCTGGGGCTTCCAGTCCTGAGTTTAGGGTTGTTTTGTGCATCAAGGTTTAGGGTTTAAGACAGGAGCCACATCGAACTTAGGAGCCCTTGAGTAGAGCTTCTTGGAGGAAAGATCTTACTGTTTAGCACCTATGAGTAGCTCAGTTTGCAAACCTCCGAGATCACCACAACACTATCATTCACCACCCCCGACCCTGCCTGCACCCCCACCACCGCCACCACGTCTGCTGCTGCTGCCGTGGCTACTGCTGCTACTGCTACTACTGCTGCCACTAGTGCTACTGCTGCTGCTGTTGCTGCAACTCCTACTACTGCTGCTGCTGCTGCTGCTGCTGCTGCTGCTGCTACTGCTGCTACTACTACTACTACTACTACTACTACTACTACTTCTACTGCTACTGCTTCTGCTACTGCTACTGCTACTGCTACTGCT